TAATAAATGCCCAACGGTGGGAATATAAAATGGTGTTTTCCATCTAAGTTGTGTCTACTCAAGCTTGGTTCAAAATGATCATACATTTTGAGCAGTGCAGCAAGTGTTGTGAACTGAAGGAACAAAATAATCACCGTTTAAAATCCTACTTCACACCACCCGTCCTCACCCACAGGAGTGACCTCTTTCTCCATCCCTTGAACGAGTTTCATGCCCACCATTAACCATGTTTTTCTTTGTATATACTGTATATCCCCATCATGGACAATGTAAAGACACATACCAGCCGCCATGGAGATAAAAACAAAGGCCAAATCGATGCGAGCAATGGTGCCTGATGCAGATAGCTGCTCGAGCCAAAAGAAAAGACACACACGCAAGAACTAAAGGAAAGGAAAGAAACCATTGAACCGCAAACATCCTGTCATCGTGTTTACTGTTATAAACAAAGAGCTGGCTAGAAGGGATACTTCATAAATATAATAGAAATAATGTTTTATCACTCACTGCGTGTTGCATCAAATGTTTAAAATAATTGTACTTATAGAAAAAGGAGATTCAAACTGTTGTGGATTTTCAACAATAGCAAATCAGTTTCCAGCCCAGTGTGGCAGAGCGCATGGCTGTGGGAAAAACACTCAACACTCGTACACCTGACCAATGAGAAAGGGTGTCACCAAATCGAAATCCACTAAGAGGCTGAAAAAAGAGGAAAATGGAAAGCCTGAATACTGAACCGTTATTGTCCCTGGACAATATTGAACTCATTTATATTATAATAACCTGCCTATAATCCACATTCTCAATATCTCAACTTCTCCTTTCTGCCGATGAAGCAGAAAAAATACAGTATGAGTGACGGAGAGAGAAAATGTGGCGGTCGCTGGGACACAATGTGAGCTTATAATGGATTCAGGTTTAATGCAGCGTACAGCAGGTCACTGGTTGCATGGAGCCACACAGAGCACAGAAATAGTCCCAGTACAACAAAGGACAGTTCAATAATGCCAGTGTGAGTCCCATAACAATGCAGTGCTATAATGGTGCTGACCACTGACTGTAAAGAGTCATGCTTAGCACAATATATAGATCCATTTAATTGAGGGAAAACAATGGTTTATATTATACCAAAACAGCCATGTCAGATACAAGAGGCAAGACTAATACCAGCACAATATTCAAACTTCATTATCTAGCTTAAGCTCCCACACATAATCACAAAGACACACTGTGACAAACGTACATACAATATGTAATTATTATGATTATATTTCTATTCTCAGAAATCAGGCCTCTGTTATTTCTAAAAGGTTTGACTTCTCAGCGACACTTGGCTGTTACAATCACAACAGGTTTGACACAGAAATGGGAGAAGGAACCTAAATAAGGCTGGCAAAAATAAAGGGTTACACAAAAACCCATGCGATCATTTCTGGCTGTTCGATTTTGCTAGTTTGTTATGTTACAACACTCGCTCTCCTCTCTTCGTTTCCATCTCGCTTGTCATTGGGGATTGAGCGTAACTTGCAAATTGGCCTCGGTCGCCACACTCTTCTACATCCAAGATAAACAAGGGCAAGTGATTCGACACACGGCCGCGGCAGAACTAATTGATGAGGATAAATACGCCGTCCGTCATATTATAACATCCTTTCACAAACTAGGGAAGTAGTGGGACAACATGTGAAAATACAACACTTTAAAATGGGTTTTTGCCTACATTTAGGTAGGTGGGAATCTGTTCGATACAAGTAAGACTTAGTTTCCTACATCTGTCATCGGAATACATTTATTACTTTATTTCTAAATCAATATGTATTGCCATGTTGACTGGAGTAATACAAATAATCTTACAGCCATTGAACCAGAGTGTCCTTCCCTGCTCATAGAGATTCATCCCTATCACATCGCAAAACAATACAATTAATTCTTTAACAATGTCTTTAACTCACTGTTACAGGAGAAACATTTTTACATTTTTACCAGCAAACTTCTTGAATAATAATGCAATGTTTTCCAATTTCAAAGCACAGTTCGTCACCTGAATGAGCTCTGGGACTGACTACTGTAAACACCCTTTGTCTAACAATAGGAATCACAGACATACTTGACTTTTCCAATAGAAATCAGTCACTAGTCACCAATGTACTGGAATATAAGCACCAACATGTTTACCCAAGAATCTAATCCTTTTAACCAAACTCACATGTATGCATACAAACACGCACGCACATTCCTGAACACAGCATGAATGAAAGAAACCTGGGTACTTACAAAAGAAAAACTGCGCCCTATCCCGTCTCTATGTCTCCCTCCAGACTTTGCAGGACACCAGCAATGTTTTAAGAAAAAGACACGAGTGCAGAATTGGAGTAAAGCATTAGGTCATTCCATTCAGAACTAAAAAAACCCCGCTAGAAGGAAAGCAGAGTAAACGGCTTTCTGAGAGAGAGCAGGAGAGGGAGGAAAAGAGGGAGGGGGGGCGGGAAAACCAGACATCGAGTGAGAGGGGGCCGGGAGAGAGAGAGGAAGAGCAATGTAGGGGGAAAAACAGGGAGACAGTCAGGACCAGGAGGGGAGGGAAAACATCCGACTTGTTTAAGGATACTGTCCTAATCCGGATGTTCTGCATCAGGACCATGGACAGAGCCCTACCTTTTACTGTAAAGGGAGAATTCCAGATGGGAAGTCAAACAAAAGGAGAAAACAAGAGGAAAATAACACAAGCAAGACGGCAAATGTTATCATGACAGTAACAGAACCTCGACAATATGTATGTGACGACCATATGTAACAAGTGACACCAGGACGGCCCCAAATATGAACTTGCTGATCGATGTACTGTTCTTTAAGAACTGACAATAGTGCAAACAGAGAGCTTGGATCTGTCGCTGCTGCTGTTATGCTCCTGCCTTCCTCAGCTCTATGTGTCTGCCTCATCAAGAGAAAGCACTGACTGGATGACTGGTTCAGGCACTTTTTACACCAACTTGCACTTAACCATTTCAGTTTCCACCTCACTTCACCATCCAAGCAAACTTTCAGCTTTGGTGTTGAGTTAAAAAAAAGAATGACATGTCAGACTCGCACATTTACCAGTGATTTAAGGGCTACAAGCTCACTTTCACAAGCAGTGGCAAAGACATGGCAAGCTAACCCATGAGAGAGGGCAGGTTGAAGTGAAGGGAAACACTGCCACCGTCTGGATGTATGCCTCCGACTGCAGACACAAGCTTTGGTAAGCTTCTTGAAATCTAATTTAAACCGAATGTGAATAAGAGGCACTCATGGAATAACAGGCCATTTAGAAGAAAGGATTATACATGGAAAGCTGTGACACCAATAATAATGAGAAGTGCAAGTCATTGATTTAGGGTTTAGGTCAGTTGTACAAAGAAACGAATCTCATGGCTCACAGACAACAAGATACCCTTAGATCAGAGCTGAAACAGCAGTCTCACAGTGCATGATGGGATTTAAGATGTTAAAACCTTCTTCTAGGGATAAGATGAAAAGATGAAAGTGTAATTAGACGAGGTTATAAATACAACAAGCCACATCAAGGATATGAAGTTGTAACTTTGGTTGTTGTCTACACACATGATGTGCCCTGGGTTTACACGTTGCTCCTCCTCTGAGCTGAGGAGATCAATGGGAGCTCTTTGTTCCCCCGACAGAGAGGAGGGCAGGTTAATGAATGTCACTGATGCTTGTTTGTGTGGACAAGGAACAGGATGCTCTCAAAGAGCCGGATGGCAAAACCACCGACGTCCTTCAATACCTTCAATAGCATTAACAGATAATTAGTTTTGTGAAGACGGACTCACACAGCGTCCTTTTTCCTGATATTCTTTTAAATCCTCCTTCCACAGCCAGAGCAGATTGGAAAGGAATGGTTAGAAAACAGAAAGACACATATTCTTTAAGATAAGGTAAGCATTAAAGCAGTAACTAAGTAACAGCTTTAATAAAATACAAACAATGAACTGATACATAAATACAAATGGTAGCAAACGTGTGCATGTTTTATATTTCTGTATTTTCTTACTTAATATTGCAAGGTTAGGTGGAAAAAACAAGCAATGAATTAAGAGAAGACCGTAAATAAAAAACATGACATTGGTATGGGTGTACTGCGGCTGAACACAACCTGCTACAGAAAGGAGAATACAGACACACAAAACCAGTCAGACACACATCCAGTAGGTGGGTAGCCTGACTTTTTCAGAATACAAACATACTACTACACTCCTCTCCTGCTTTCTGGAGTGGTGAGCTAAAAAGCACTTCCATTGTCACACCGTCTATATATAGTGATCTGAATTTAAAATGGAGGCCAGGAGAATATATATCCTGTCTCAGTCTCTGTAGACCTAGTTTGCAAAAAGAGTGAGACGAGAGGCTTTAGGACGATGCCAGGGTGAAAAGTGAAGAAAAAACGGTCCTGTCTGGCTTTTCCCACAGCCTTTGACCTGCAACACCAAATACAACTATGGAAGAATAAGTTGCCTTGGAAATGAGAGTGCTCTGTTGTCGGGCTGAATGCAAGCCCAGTTTTTTTCACAGTACCATTGGCATGCAGCAGGTTTGTTGTCAAACTCAAACTGAGCAGACGGCGCTGCCCCCTCCTGGCTTAAAGTGGAATCTGAATTACATCAAAGAAGAAGGAGGACCTGATATGGGACTCCTACTGTGCTGATTATCAAATGTCAGGGGACACAGGAAAATGAAACACATCCAAATATCCAGGCTGGCCTGAGGACCATGTTGTCCCTAACTCACTGTTCACCTTGGATTCTGGATCTAACAAAGTCAAACACAAGATAAACACACTCTGGTATGTTGACCCAAGCCTGAATCAGCCCAGCCATTATTTGTCAAGGACCTGACCATTCATATATGTGCCTCATGGGTGTGTTTCGCTCTTACAGCTTGCACTTAGACTATAAAAAGCCTCACACCCAGCTTCAATGTTCCATATAAGTATTAGCTGCCCTTACCAGACTGATCGTTCATCATGCGGATGGCTTTGGCTTTGGCCAGCTCCAGTGCAGTGACCCATCTCTGCCGCTCCACTTCTGTGCTAGCCTTGAGGTGGTAAGTGCGGCCGCCGCTGCTCAGGACAATGTTGCAGGCGTCCTCTGTGTCGATGTGCGCCGTGGCCAAGTTGATTGTTCCTCGGCAAGTATGGGCCATCTCTGCCTGCGTCCTGCGACAAAACACCAGGCGGAGAAAGAGACAGAGAAAGAACACATAAAGAACTGTACACTGCTGTTTGTCACTTTGAGTATTGCATGTAGGAACGTGCATTTGATACTATTATGGCCAATAAGCGCAAGCAGGGAGGCAAGGAGGGACAGAGAAATGCCACACATTATATTACAAAGACTCACTTTGAAAGCCAAGCAGCAGAGGATGCTTTCGGTTGTTAAACTAAACACAGACCTTCTCTGTATCACAACGATCTAATCATGAGAACCAAACCTTTATTAGCAAATGGTAAACAAATTGGATAGTTTGAACTTCTTATTCGCTCAGTGTGGCCTTGCTGACCTTCAGTGTGCTGAATTCTGGGTATTCTGTGCAGCCTAGTCCAGTAACACCAACTGTTGCAGTCAGTGGACCACAGTAGTCTAGATAACAAGGCCATTGTCTGCCTCCAAGCCTCTGTAGCGAACAAAACCAAACAATGAATAGCAGCGTGAACAAAGAGAGACCACAGTGTGAGAGGTGGTAGAAAAAGAGAGCGATAGCAGGGAAGAGAGCCAAAGCAGCAGAGCAAGAGATTAGAACAAAGAGCAAGAGCAAGAGAGAGTTAAGAATATGCACTGTGTGTGTGTGTGTAAGCCAATGTATAGTGTGCATGTTTCCAAAAACCTCTCTCAATGAAACACCTGCAGAATAATGTTAATGCTTTTGTAAAACATCCAGAACAGAAAATACTGTCGAACTGTTTTTTTTAATGGGGTTCGGGATAAAATAGAATAACTAAAAGTCAAGAGAAACGTTTATAATTGTGTGGTGGGAAGCTGGCTGCCTGTCATCCTGTCACGGTGAGAGAAGCCTAGTTTCAGAGCAGGGATGGAACATCATGTCCCGCAGAGAGCTGAGCGTATGCAGTCACCCCCCCACCACAGACAGCTGATTTGGCTGATTAAGACCCTCATCCACGGAGCAGCAAGTAATCAGCTAAATCACATGCTGTGCTGGTAGTTTAAAAATTAAACCAACACATCCTCAACCTTCAGGGTCACATGATTGCCCATCCATACTCTCAGAACCCACCCAAACTGAAGCATGCAGCCATGCAGTCATGTGGATGCATTTGCAATTGCGGGTGCTAACATCCGTTTATCCATCTTCAGTGAGCCTTTGTTGCCACCGGCAGCTGCCAGCCAGCAGCTCCTAACACTACACCAGTCTACTTTGACATTGCCTTATTTAGTCAGAGGTTGAAGTGCATTAATAAGTTCTGCCAGGCAGTGATTTCCCTCACACCGCTTCTACTTGCTGAATTCAAGTCTTGTTATAATGCCAATCCACAACAAGCATTTCAGTGTTCTGCTCCTCTGGCGGCGCTTGGTGCACATCAGCTGCGCAGACAAGATCGCACTGGAGCCGTGTGGGGCCGTGTGGAGAGAGGCAGGGACCCTCAACATCCCTCTTTCCAGCTTTGCCAAGCCCGAGCTCAGCTGCCGAGTCCTGGCTGTAAGTGGGTCAACAAACCCAGGGTGCTGCTGACGAGTAAGATGAGATCCACACTGATCGTTTCGGCCCTGTGGGAAGGCAAGGCCATGCAAAGGCCATGAAGTAAACAGAGAAAGAAACCACAAAAGCTGGGAAAGAGAGAGACTACAGGGACATTAAGGCACTAGGAGGGGAGGGGGTGAAGGTGAGTGCAGCTGAGGACATGAGAGAGGGTCCTGCATGTTGAGCCGAGCCAGGAAAGAGTTGCAGTGCTTTACCTGTCAGTCCCCTGTGCACATATCCTGATAAAACACAAATCCACCGATCTGGAGCATGTAATGACAGAACAACAACCAGTGAACAACACACGACAGACAGCCAAAAAGCATGCGGAGATTTGTACACAGACAGGCAGAAGAAATACAACACAGTACTCAGAGCATGAGAACGTAGAAAGGTTTTGTAGAGGCTGGGGGCTGAAATATCACAAGTCATGGAGGGACAGCCAGAGAAACGCTGGGGAAAGTGCTGTGCTGAAAACAGAAGGGAAACATAAGACAAGAAAACCAAAGCAATGAAACAGCAACATGGTGAACGTGACATGGACTGCAGACAGATGAGATGAGATGAGAACACACACACACACACACACACACACACACAACACACACACACACACACACACACACACACACACACACACACACACACAACACACACACTACACACACACACACACACACACCACACACACACACACACACACACACACACACACACACACACACACACACACACACACACACACACACACACAACACACACACACACACACACACACACACACACACACACACACACACACACACACACACACACACACACACACACACACACACACACACACACACACACACACACACACACACACACACACACACACACACACACAACACACACACACACACACACCACACACACACACACACACACCACACACACACACACACACACACACACACACACACACACACACACACACACACACACACACACACACACACACACCCATTAACTAAATTAGATCACAGCATCCCCATCTCTTGCTCCAGTCTCTCTGCTGATGTGCCAGGCTAGTAAACAGGGTTCATGACAGGCTCTTCCCTCCAGCTGGGCCCAAAGCTGGCGAGCTGACCACTCTCTCATCACGCCACCCTGCACCCACGAGCTGAGCGAGCCAAAACACAACAACCTGACTCTCCAAAGGGACACAAAAAGGTACCTACCCACCACTGAGCATTTAAATGTATTATCTAGTCACTATCCTGCAGCTGAGAAGGAAACGAGGCAGGCCTACTGTACTATAAAAGTCAAGGATTCACTGATATGGCAGCTATAATTGCACTCAAACCTTTAATGCCCCGTAAGCATACCTTAAGCACCAAGGAAGATCCATTTTAAGAAGTGAGTAAGATTGGTTACCACTTTGAGTTTTTCTTTTAAATGAAGGAATTCAAAATGAAAGAAGCTCAGTGTGAGAGGGAGGACAAAGATCTTGACACATTTTCTGGTGAAACGGCTCGATTAGGCTCTTTTGGATGATTAAGACAAAAAAGACCTCATGGCTGATGAAGTCTAAAAGACTGCCAGTCTTGCAGTGTCAGAGCCTAAATTAATCAATAACAAGTGCTATGTTGAATCTCTGTAAAACTCATTACACTTAAACAGGCGCAAGTGCTGAGTGTGTTAGTCCGCCCAGAGTCCAAGCATCGATTACCGTCCTCCATTGCCCTTTGGCGTCTCAGCGACGACTTGGTGAGTTAAGCCATTGCTCTGAAAACAGCAGGCCTTGGGAATTGAAAATCTCTATCAGGTTATGGGCTAGACCTCTTATTGAGAAGTCAGTCACTATAGATTTATCAATAATACAAACTGGCATTTAAAAAAAAAGGGCAAACAAATATGTTGGGAGCTACATGTTTCTTAGAGTTCACTTCCAATACAAAAGAATGACAATGCTAAGTTTAAGAACAGCAAATGCAAATTAAGTCATATTGAAAATGTGAGCGGTCCTATTATTATTAGTATTGGTAGAAGAACTGGAATATTCTCTATGTTTCAGTCCTTATATTTTAGGACAAGGAACTTTGTCTGTTTCCCTGTCACTTCCCTAACAATAGAGGTGCAGACAGGCAGGCAGAGGAGGCACAGGCAGAGGAGGCACAGACAGAGGAGCACAAAGCCTGGAGTCAGACACACACAATGCGGTCTGCCAGGAAGACATCAGTGGAGGGGACAACCCGTTGCTTCACTGCCTCTGGGGTCAGATGTCTATGGGCTACCTTTACTTCAGGTACAGCAGTCACCTTACAACATAATGGACTATTCATAGAGGGTAGAGGCAACAGGCGTCTTTTCTTTCACCACAAGCTCAGGCAGGAGTAGGACTTTGGCTACTTTACCTCCGTGTCAAATAGCACTGCTGACAACGCAAGACAAAAGGGTGCTGTAGAAGGCTGCAGGGTAGGATGAAATGGGCTCTGAATGTGGCGTTGACCTGATCTGAAAATTCTAATTTTACAAGATGGCATTTACTGTATGACTGTTGGAGCTGCAGGGAAGCAATGTGAGTCAATGTTTTGGCCTGCAGTCCCAGGACCCAGACTGAAACGGGAACTAATGAAGTGCACAAAGGACAACGTGGCCCAGAAGGCGATATGGCAGAATATTTGAATGTTGAAAAAGCATAAAAAGTTAAAGAAAGCTAGATGGTTGAACAAGCAAAAGCCCAGCAGTGAAATCAAGTGAAAGTACCAAGCTCTTTAGGGACAAAACAATCACAATCCTGGGGCTGGCTCAGGTGACAGCTCTGAAAGTGCTAGACATTGTACCTTGAGGGACTTCACAGGGACTTCCATGTGACAGTTTATTCACCTGATGGTAAGGTTAACATTAGACTGACAATTATAAAGTGTTGCTGTTGTTGTTTTACAATCTAATCAGACCACCATTAAGCTTTACAATATACAGGAATCCTCTGTAATAAGGCACACGGAATGGTTTTTTGGCAGATGTATTACATGTGTGTTGTGCTTTATGATGCGTTTATGGTGTCTCTAGTCCACTGCCACACCTGTGGAAACATGAGTCCTACTGTCCTGCAGCTGAGAAGGAAACGAGACAGGTCTACTGTACTATAAAATTTAAGGATTCACTGATATGGCAGCTTTAGTTGCAGTCAAATATTTAATGCCCTGTAATCATACCTTAAGCACCAAGGAAGACTGACTTTAAGAAGTGTCTACGATTGCTTCAGAGTATTAAAACTGTGAGTTTTTTTTTTTAATTAAGTAATTAAAAATGAAAGAAGTTAAGGAGAGGGAGGACAAAGGTCTTGTCACATTTTCTGGTGAAACGGCTCAATGGATGATATAAAAAGACTTCCAGTCTTGCAGTGTCAGGGCTAAAATTAATCAATAACAAGTCAAGTGCTATGTAGAATCTCTGTAAAACTCATTACACTTCAAACACTTGTGCATGAAGCACAGCCACAGGTGTTACGCTATTGTAAAGCTAAGGTTAACTCACAGCTCTGTCTATCAGAGTGAAAGAGACGGATGATAATCTTAGCAACAATCTCTTGCATCTCGTTTCGGTCATCATTCAGAGTGGCTTTTTAACTCTATCTAATGCAATTAATGAATTAATTAATTTAGCAACAAAAAACATGAGATTTATCATGAATTACATTTTGTCGTTGACGTTCTCTTTTCTAACAACACCTTTAAAAGAGGAGTTTAATATATATATAATACTGAGGAGTATCCAGCTGTCACAGACTGAGACTAGCAAATTAGCTTACTCTGCTAGCTAACGTCCATACCAACTGTAGCCCCTTCCTGACACTTTAATGACTTAGAAGTTGTGTTGCCATTACTGCTGTGTGAGTATCTATATGTGTTGGTGCCTTTCATCAATATAGAGTCATTCAAAGTAAAAACGTCTACGTATTTATCACTGTCAGCTTGAAGGGAACAGACAGCTGACTCTGTGCGTTTGACAGCTAGCTGTTAGCCTGATGCTAGCCAGCTGAGGCAGCCAGCTGTAAGGATGCACCGACACATGAAGCGACCAAGTCCGCGTTTACTTTGAGAAATACTGCACCCTGCATCTTTATTTACCTGTAATATGAAAGCAGGCCATTGCTGAGGACAAACCATCTCCGCTGGTACCCTTTCAAATAGTTGGTCCATTTAAAAAGCCAGCCTTTGTAAGTATCCGACCCTGGAGCTGGGGCCGCGGCAGAGGCGGAGCTGCCCTTCCCCGGATCGCTCATCCTCCGACCGGGATGAACCGGGGACAGCGGGGACAGGGACACTTCCCACCGGGACGACCGTGGCTAGGACGTCGGCACTGACGGATGAGCTGGAAAGAGGAGGGTCCGGTCTAGGGCGAGAGACACCACCGTGAACCCCTTTCACATGACGCCGGAATGGACTCCAAAGGAAGGACGAGAAGTGATGCCAAGACACTTTGCTGATGCAGACTGCAGAGTATCCAGAGCATAGAGCTGGACAGAATAGAAAGGGAGTTCCTTACATGGCCATTCAATAATTAGATAATGCTTTGACCAAATCAACAATGTTTTTTCCATGATGACAGTGCCAAACAGTGTAAGGCTGTCCTGTTAGGAGGGAGCGGCTTCTGTTACTATTAATAAAGTTTAAATGGAAATTGCTGCTCTATCGATTCAAGTCTACGATACTGACTTGCACCACGTGATGTTGTTATCTTAACATTCCTAAACATTTGACATGCGGTTTGGCTGCTGATTTCACTTGTCAGGTGAGTAGACGTAGAATAGACATAATTGAAGCTTATTGAAAACACACAACTGTAGTGATAAGCTTCTGGCATCAATTCACACAGGTCTATGTAAAAAGTTCATCTTATCATTAAATGTACGGAAACCTAAAATCGTGTGAGCCATTGACTCCGAATCATTACTAAATATGCATACTGCTCTGGACAAATACGACACACCTCTTTTTATTGGATTTAAGGGCTTTATTTTATTTTTTACACGAATGTAGTTCGTGTAAAATAAAGAAGCTTCCAAATCCCAAACTTTTCCAATAAAAATTGACTGTCTAATTATCATTGAAATATATGTTTTTTAAATATAACATAGAAAAAGCACTATAACCCACTATGTCTTATTTTTCCATTTTAGAAATAACATTATGTGTGAATTTGGAGTCACTGACATCAATACTATAAAAAAACAATTGAACATATTTATAATTTCCCCTAATATTGGAAAGTTAGCACATTCATTGTTAGTTTATACAGTCTATTGTTAGCTCAGAGGTATTTAAAATAACATTGGTTTTGTGTCATTCTAACTGTAAAATAACTTAAGTAATAAAATACATTCTGTGTTGTAAAAAGTACAATATTTTCCTATAAATGTGGTGAGTATGAGTATAAAGTAGCAGGAAATGGAAGCACTCGGGTAAAATACTGTACAGTACTTGAGTAAATGTACTGAGTTTCTTTAAACCTCAGAATTACATGATCATTGGCATACGTTTCTCGATTACCAACAAGGTCTGATTATCAAACGGACAAAGCAGAAAAGTGACAGATCCTCTGGGGCACCAAATGCCACAGGACCACTTACTGTTTATATACGTTTGGTAGTAAGCATTAACACTCTGTCTTGAAGAGTATAAATGTCTAAAATGTATATTATCACAATTTTCTTAATTTGTTTGCGACAGGGTAAATTCAAATTGTGTATGCCTGTAGAAATAGGAGGTCAGGAGTTGATAATGGTACACAACAAACGTATTCCCCTGTATTCAATAAGAGGTTACAGACCTAAATATGGAGTGTGGACTTCTACTTGAGAGGTCCCAGTTCACCTCCTGCCCTGCCGTGGTGCCCTTGAGCAAGGCACCGGACATCCCCCTTCCCCCCTCACTCCTATTGCTCCCCGGGCGCTGTACAATAGCTGCCCACCGCTCCTAGTACTAGACTCCTGGTACTAGGATGGGTTAAAAGCAGAGAACAAATGTCACTGTGTGCTCTGCATGTGTGACCATTACATAGGGTTTCATCCCTCCCAATTCTAATTCTAATTCTAATGTAGCCAGGTTACCCACAGAAGAAAGGCGGAGATGATTTAAAGAACTATCAGTGCTGAGATCATTTCACAACTAAAGTTCTTAAACAGTATATTACTGACTCATTATAACCTAACCACCTTAAATGAAAGTATATCAGCTATTACAATGGGGAGTTCACCAGACAATCATCAAGTGTTGTTGAGTACATTCAAGAATACATTTTAAACTCAAAGTAAACAGTGGGTTCAGTGTGTGATGCCTGATCCGTTGTTTTTTGATTTGGCTCCTGATAACAATGTGTTACCACACGGTGGCAATGTTGTCAAATGATCTTAATGTGGTGTAATTTTAGAACAAGATTGAAAAGTGACCAGAGTGAGGTTGCTGTTCTCAAAAGCATTTAATGTTTCATTATGTTAAAAAAAATACTCACAGTACTTATTACACAATAAAAATAAATATAAGTAACGTTTCTGATAAAAAAACGGTAGCCCTTTTTATTAGGAAACGTGCACACAGACAAACTGATGAGAACTCATGCTACACACAGTTGCTGCTACATATTTCTTTTTTTTACTAGAAAAAAATAAACAAAAAACTAACACAGCCATCTGCCCTGATGAAGGGTGCACTACATCTTTGAGAGAATCATGAGCTGGTGCTCTCGCATGCCATTGAAAAACAACCACATTCACTCCGCTCAGCTGCTCATTACAGTGTCAGAAAACCATGTATTACAAAAATTAATCACAATATTACATTTTCACATCAGTGCAATTGAACCCTGACCCGTTGGCTCTACCAACAAAAGCATGCAAGTCAATTACTCCATGAATCACTCTTATATACAATAGGTCTGCTTACTTTCAGTGCAGCCATGTTCACAGACTGCCTAACTAGGTATAATCAAATGAAAAAGCAACTGTTCATCTCACAACATTACCAATTGGATACTATTGACATACTGATATGAAAGCTTTTTCAAGGTTCCCTGTGTGTCTGTGTTACACTCATGGGTTGTTTTATGGAAGTCACTAAGCTCTGCTTCCTTATATCTGCAGGATATCGGAGTGAGAGGATTACGTCTACTATACGTGAGGCATTTTTAGTATAATGTGGGAATACATATAGTCAGTCAGGACATGTGAGATTTTATTGCTCCTCCCTAATCCAGATTCTACATCAGTCGTTAGTCTTGCCGTGTCTGTCCTTTGCTTGCCTGAATGTCAGCTATCAAACGTGCCTCTCTCTGTCTCTCCTTCACACATACATATACTCACACACATACACACACACACATGTATGCATCTACAATGCGTGTACAGGTTCTCGTTTCAGGCTCTGCAGCCTCCTGCAGTTCCCTGGATTGAATGTATTCTTCAGAAACAGACACTGAGTAAGGGGAGGGAGCATATTAAAGCCCACATCGTGATAGGGACTGCAGCATTTTCTGCAGCAAGACAACCTTAAAATCCCTTTCGTCTGAACAAACAGCTTTCTCTGTAGGCCAAGTTTAATACAGGGAAATCAAAGGGAAAAAAAAATGCAGGCAACTTCTCAGAATCTAAAATTAAAAACCATATCTACACATATTGAAATACTCCCCCTGGAAGTGAGAGTGAAAAAATAACTGTGTTTGCTATTCATATTGGTTTTCACTTGCTTTCTATCCTACTTCCTTCCTTGCATTTACACATTTGGCAGAATCTGACTAGGAAGTGGTTGGATGACTATGTGTGAAATTTGGGTGTCTTTTACAGCGCAAGAGACTAATAAACCTCATTATGAAAAATCAGCTCAGTAAAGCAGGAGGCCACAGGGTATTTTTCCAGCCATTTCGATCAAAAGTCCAGTTTTTCTTCTCCACCGCCCCTCCACTCCTGAGGTGAGAGGGCTGGAGGGAGCACTCGGGGTCACATGATGCTGCAGCGGTTCCTCTGCAGCGCCCCCTGCAGGCGGATGGCGGTGTGGTTCCCGCGCATGCCGCGTGACACAGCGATGCCCAGCAGCTCTTTGAAGAGCAGGACGACGTGCCAGTTAAACTTGGCTGAGCACTCCACATAGCCACACTTCCAGGTCTTTTTCACCAGGACTGACACCGCCCTGCGAGGCATGAAGCGCTGCCGCTGCAGATCTCTCTTGGTGCCCACCACCAGGATTGGCACCTCACTGCTGCTGCCTTCCCTGCGGGGGCAAGTGAGACCAGAAAAGAAAAAGGTTAATTTCAAAAAGCACCAATATTTGTGTGTTTTTGTCGGTGGCTTGGAGTGTGCAAAATGCCTGTGTTTTTCCCTTCCTTCTGAGGTGTGCGGGGGAGGACTGGAGGATTAGTGCTCCAAGGCTCAGGGGGCCTCCCACCACTCTCTGCTGCAACTGGTGCACGGCATCATGAAGGGTTGAAATGTATAGAAAGTCAGTGGTGGGAATAAATAAGTGATTTGGGATTTATAGTATAATGCTTCTTACAGTGTTAAAAAAATTAAACATCTAGGAGAAGTCCATCCATTTCTAGTAACACGGATTAGTGGGAGTTTGGAAATCCAATCTGAAGCTCTACTTTAAATGAGAGAACGTTGACTACAGCAAAGTACAACAATGAGTTACTAGAGGGAATCCTGGATTAGATTTTAGAGCAAATACCATGAAGGAAAGAAGGCTCATTATGTTAATCGGATTTATTACAATGAGATACATTTTTATATTTGGTTGGGGGCCAAAGGCAGGAGAGCAATAACATAAAACTATCCTACCTCAAGTTGAATTCACTATGAAAGGCACATTGTTAAACTCAAGGCATGCAGTGAGGAGTGTAAGAGCAAGACATCTGTTAACCTGTTCAGCTCAATGTCAAATATGGTATATTTTGTTAAAGCTGCTGCTTTCACTTATGCGGAATAATGTTTTCTTTTTGATACATTGTGCCTCTGACAAGTACTTGCATGCATGTGTATATTTGCACGTCTGCCTTCACAGATGGACAGATAGCTTGGCGGAAAGAAAAAGCAGAGAGAGAGAAATGTACAGTATCGTTTTCAAGCCATCTGAGGCGAAGTTCTCAAAGATGTAGGGTTGAGAAAACACATTGTAGTTATTATCGCAATTTCCCTTTTTTCAAAGATTGTGCTCTCGAAACAGACTCAAACATATCTGCTTGAGCTTGTGTATTAAAGCCGGATGTGATGTACTGTGTGAGTCTGTGCGTCATCTTCCCTGAGGTGGGCTTCCTACTAAAATGCCAAAGAAAATAGAAAAACAAGTTCATTCTGGTTTCAACTGATAATGTCAACAGAATTGTGCTGAGCATTTTAAGATTATATTTTCTATAGTTGACATTTATAGTACACCCCTCCTCCCCACTCGTGCTGCAACAGCCTCCATCATTCAATATTTCAGTATCCGTCCCTTCTCTGCTTTGTCCTTCCCGTCTGCAGTCTGGTCTCAGAGCTTTTTGATTATACAGTTCTCCTGTTTTCCATTCACCCTTCCTTCCCTCTAGTTGCTGGTGATAATGGTTTTCTGTCATGGGCTATGAACATTCATGGCAACACATTTTGCAGCCGCAGGTAGGTGGGGATGATCTGTGCACTGGCAGTTTGGCCGTGTACATACATAGCAGCACAAATGAGGCCACTCATTGTACTCTTTCAATATGTAAATATATGCAGGAATGCCAACAGCAAGGATGTTAGCGCAGGTGATGCCTTTCATTGGTATTCTTCCCCCCCCCACAAGTGTACGGTTCTTTCTGCCACTTGCATGTGTTCAAAGCCTGCCAGGAGACATGTATTACATCTCCCTCTGGTTCTTATACTTCCTGTTTTCTTGTAGCTGTGCTCTGTCTAACAAAAGGAAAAATGTCCCCAAAAATGTATCTTCAAAATCACTACTGAAATGTCAGGCTGCTCTCGTGCAGGAATGACAGCATCAAATGCCATTACTAAGCTGTCAGGATGCAGTGGGGACTGTGCTAAATTAAAATATAGCACCATGCGCAGACTTTCACTGTCACGCTGTCACAGACGTGTAATTGTCCTGCTTTGTGGAAGGTCTGTGAAATGGCAAGCTGTCACCAGATGGATGAAATGGTGATGTGATTATAAACCAACGCTGAGGGTAAACAAGCTGTATGTCACTCTGCCGAATGTTCAGAAACAATCATCCTAGCTGAGAGCGGGTTGTCGTCATACCTGTACTCCACTATCTGCTGTCTGATCATCTTGACGTATTCAAAGCTCTCCACGCAGCAGATGTCGTACACCAGGATGTAGGCGTTGGCATTGCGAACACCTCTGCAGCGCAAATCCAGCCACTCCTACAGGACACACACAGAGGGGACAACGTCATTGCACAAACAATCATAGTATGAGATAGATCATTTTGAACCATGTTTGAGTTAAGTCCGCCATCCCTTTGCTCTGAAATCTCTCAACAACTATTGTATGGATGATATTTTGTATAGATATCCACGGGGGCCCATTGACTGACATCGGTAAATCCCTGGCTTTTTATTTCCATGTCACAATGAGATAGACATTTATAGTTTCGAGTGAAATATCATTCAAGTATTGTATAGATAGCACTGGATTAACTTTAATATCATTGCTGATCCTCTGGATTTTAATTTACTGTCACCATCAATCAAAAACCCAATTTTGTCCAGAATTAACCCATTAAGCTCAACCCTACTCTCTCATTAGCAAATGTTAGCATGATAACACACTAAACTATGATGGTGAACAATGTAAATATTGCATGTTAAACACATTTAGTAGTATATTGTATTTGATACGCCAAGATCATGTTATCATGCTAATGTTGCCCTATAGCTCAAAGCAATGCGGTCGCTATATAGCCTTATAGATCTAACAGCATATGTACAGACTAATACAAAACAATACCAGAGAGTGAAGCCGACCAGCACATACTGTAGGATGTGTTTCTGTAATTATTCTGCACTTTGGCCTGTAAGTCATTGTTTGTCTGCATCTGCTGGTTAACCTCTGTCAGAAAAGAGCAGAGGGTAATTAAGTTGTAGATGCATGGCTCTGTGGAGCCCCAGAGCCATGAATAAAGTCATAAAACAGTGTGACAGTAAGCACTGCGCCATGTCCCAGTTACACATGTTCAAGGACAATGGCTTTACAGCTTGTAAAAGATAAGCTAACATGGAGCCTTCTGTCAGGAAAAGAAAAACGAACCCATACTACTGTTTAACTCGTGTCGTTGCTTGGCTGAGCTTTGTGATGCAGTGCACGCACGGCGGCGTTGGTCGGATGGTGATGAGTAAACAAAGCACATGGGACAAGTGGGTACAATGGAACCTGACTGGAGGAAAGTTGCTTCAATAGAAACACAGGGACCCATTCTCCTGTTCGTGCTGTTTCAGGACTGTCTGCACCCCACCATTACTGTCACCTCCTCGAACAGCATGTAATAAATTCAGAAGCATTTAAAAGAGGGGAGGGAAATAACAGGAACTTCTGGGGGTGGGAAGAAAGGATCTGCTGTGAGAAAACAAACACAGCTCTGAGAAAACGTCGATCAGAAGAAAAAGCAGCAGTGGATAAAGGGGTGAGCAGACGGGGTCAACATCACCTCTGGTGTGCATGCACACTGCTAATAAAGGGTAATAACTGAGACCGCCAGAAACTCTATGCAGTTTAATCAGGGAGGCAGTGGGTTGTGCGTTGGTGTTCGGATCAGGGGGGTTACAGGTTCAAACCCCACTGCAGTCAGCATGTCGTTGTGTCCCTGGGCAAGACACTTCACCCCAAATTGCTCCTGTGGGGATTGCCCACAGTATTGAGTATGGAAGTCGCTTTGGATAAAAGCGTCTAACAAGTAACATGTAATGTAATCATGTTATGTTCCATTCACTTCAACTTAAAGGTAGGGTAGGTAAGTTTGAGAAACCGGCTCGAGATCGCTAGAATTTGAAAATACACAACCGGAGAAAATCTGCCACTTCCTTACAGAGCCCCTCCTCCAACACACACGAACGCGCACATGACCAATGAGGGCACGAGATAAGTTTGTGCACAGATGGAAGGCTGACAGGCAGGTAGGCCATCCAATCATTTTAGCCGGGCCGGCTAAAATGATTGGTCGTGCTTTTTACAGTATTACGGCTTCCACAGATGACATTTTTTTATGGATTTGTTGTCAAAGCACTTCAGATATTCATTGCTATCGGGATGTTAAGAGCATTCCATGGAATATAACAAAAAGTGTATCTCGAGCCGGTTTCTCAAACTTACCTACCCCACCTTTAATGTATACATGCAAACAGTGGATACTATTCTGCCTCTGTATTTATAAAGAGACGAGACATGATAGTGACATCATTCCTCTGAAAGGAGAAGTTTGACCATATTGGGCAATACACATATTCACTTTGTTTAACAGGGTTTGATGAGAGATATTCAGTAATGATGTATCTGGAACCAGCAGCCAGTTAGCCTTTACCTTGAGTTGAGTTCAAACACGGGGAACAGCTAGTCTGGCTCTCTCCATATAAAAACAACATTTGCCCAACAGCAGAACATTTGTAAACAAGTCACCTTGTTTGCTAAATGTACACTCAATATGAAAGTGGAGCCATCAGCTGGTTAGCTTAGCTTAGCATAAAGACTGAAGTGAATGGGTAACCTTCCTTTAACTTTTAAGCAGGTATATTACCAGCAATTATCAATTCTAAGTAGGTTTGTTAAAAGACTATACACGTTTTATTTGTATCGATGAACATTTTTAGCACAGAACTTTTGTTTTCCGCAAAAGATATTCCCATAAAAACATATATGACCAATGCAAAACTGTATTTATTTAGTTAATATGCTTCTATCTTGTTTGCTTAAAGCTCTGTTACTTGACGTTACTTCCTTTTGACAGATGCACCTGCGCCTCAGAGATGACTCTTAGCTGCTCTGTTTGTTGCTTTGTGCAGCTTTAAAAACTCAGTTATCAACGTGCTGATTCTAATTAGCACCAAGCTGCTAAAATAAACCTAATTTGTGGCGGTGTTGAAAGAGCATGGTAGTCATTTTTCCATATGGTGCGTTCATTATTTGTTTATCTCCTGCAACAGCTTGAACAATTCGAAATAGGCATTCGACATCTAATTGAATTGCTCTTAATGTTGAAGAAAGAATGTGCTTTTCAAATCTACAGGCTGTCAAGGCAGTCTGTACACATAAGATGAAGTGATCATGTCTGACAAGGGAAGCTCAGAGAACAGACGATGATCAGCTTTAACATCTAATGTTGATGAAGCCATCACATCTGTGTCAGCGAGGAATTATTTAACTCTATTTGAAATGCACGGGGGCGTTTTCTGGGTTCATCTGTGTGTGTGAGGAAGAAACAGCATCACACATCAGTAAGAAGAAAATGAGGCCGAGCACGCATGGAGACAAACATTTGGCACAGGGATCATTGCAATCAAAAGGAAAAGAGAAGACGGAGGAAGTAAATGGGACACGTTGATGTGAGAACTGGTATACGTGTGATTATTATCTGCGTCCCTCTCCAGGTTGAATCAGTTGTCAGAAGGACTGTATTTTATATTATTTCTGAGTGTCCAATACAATTTCAAGTCATTTCACTCTCCTTTAAAGAAAATATTTGACAAACAAACCTGCCATAAAAAGCATATCATCACAGCTCAGCCTCTTCTGATCATTTAAGCAATTGACTATGTGAGATGCGCGCATTTGCTTCAGTTGCAGCCTCACATCCCTGTGAAGCTAAAAATAGCTGCATGTGTTCTCATCTCATATCTCTTTGTCATCCAAGTCCTGTTTTTTAAATATGGAGGAGGGGCTAAAAACAGAAACACTGCTTCACCAAAGCCAGACAAGAGACCAAACAAAGATAATAAGAAGCCTGCCTAGGAGGAGAGGAGGGGTGCAGCAGAACACATCTGATGAACTGAACTCAAATGAATTTAAAATGCATGTGTGGGCATGTTTGTTTGTGTGTGCTTGCAGGATTTGAGAGTGCCTGTGGGAGCGTGAATGTGAGTGTGGTGGCACTGTCTGTTTCCTCCAGTCGGGCTCCTTCACGCGCCGCACACAAAAAGAGCATCTCACCCTTCGTTCCTCGAGAGCGTTAAACATAACATGTTCCCCTGACAACCGTAAGCTGTGGTCAGTTCTCAGAAGGCAAAGCTGTCACGTCTCCTGATATTAGGCGAGGCAGCTTAACGGTAATGAGAAGTTGTGATGGATCGATACTCAGGAGCACAGGAGGAAGGTCGGTGTAACCTTTTTGGGGGGAAGGGTGCGGAGCAATTAAAGCGGTGTCACACACAGGCCACCCGAGCAGATTTGCAATTAAAATGTATTACATCTCCCGGGGATGAAACTCCCATTACTCAATGGTGACCTATGCAAATCCGCCGTGAACATGTTCAGATCTTATTGGTGTTTGATTAATGCACTTTGTTGGAGATGATATGGGGATGATGAGCTGTTTCTGATTTCTTCCAAGCACACAGTAACACAGAATACACGTTACTTGTATATAATGAGCGATTGCATTTGACTTATCTTATGATCATGAATTGTTGATTTTAAATCCAGAGCTAAAACAGATTTACGCAAGTTGATAAAGTTCAACATTTTAGCAAATACAATTATGGGCCTTCTAGTTTAATTATTTATTTAATCAAGCTTGCATAATGAGCTGTCAATAGTTAAGAACTAATTGAAATGTTTCTAATCTAATTTGTTTTAATTTTAATTTTCAAAGACCACAAAAGCTTTCAACTCCTTTGAGAAAAAAACGGACCCAACAGGTTTCACAGACATTAAATGTTGCCTGCCTGTACTGAGACAGAATTACACCATGTATAAAAAGCAATAATTTGCTTCAAAATGGTCCAGAAAGAGCAGGAAAGGGAGCGGGAGCATTGTGTGTGTGTGGGAGGAAGTCATGGAGATACATTATGGCAAGAACTAAATAAGAGAACAAGAAGAATCTTTGCTGAATCCGCTGTCAAGCTTAAATCCATCTGTGGTTGCAGCCTATTGACACAGTGTGACAGATGCTCTTTAAACACAATGCTATCAGCAACAGGCAGACATACTGCAAAGCAAACAGATCATTACAACATGAGAGCCTGACTGTGAGCTAATAGAAATCTTGCCTGTCTCAAGCATCGGAAAGGATCAAAATGGCGTGGTGAAAGCGGGGGTCAGAAGTAGCCTGCCAGAAACATCACTACTCTTCTATCAAATATAATCTGAACGGATGAGAAACTGCCATGCTGCATAAGCATGGAGGCGTACTGACTCACTCCATTCCGCAGCTTATTCGTTATTGTTCCAGTGGACATTATAAAACCTAATTTGGTAACCCTTACGACGACAGTGTCCATTAAACTCTGTGCGGCCTTCCTAATTGACTGCAGCGAATTCCTACTGTCTCCTCTGCTGCTCTTTTATTCCCAGCAGTGTTCCAGCTGGGGACTGTGCTTTAATTCAATCTGCTGTGTGCTGCGAGTACATTTTTATTTTGACTTCCTTTCTGCTGTCCGTTGCCTGTGACACAGGAGGTTACGTTGCTCTGGGTAAATACAGAGCTGGGCTGGGAGTAAAAAAGGAAAAATAAAAGTGACATGTCTCATCGCTGCTCCGGCTGTGAATAGAGGACGTCAGAAAACAACGCAAGAGAGCGGCTTCAGAACAAGCAGGACATGACGGGAGCAGAAAGGGTGAAAGTACAGCGGGTCTCGCAGGGTCGTTGCTCAGAAAATGAGTAACTATAAACCTGTCTGAGACTTGTTGCGGCCGCACTCAGCTAATGGTTTTCTCTGCGTTTACAGTACACAGAGGGTCTGCTCGCAGCACTACACTTTGAAATGAGCATGAAATGTTCACACAACATGATGTCGAATGATGACTCAAACTTTGGGACTCGCACTCCCACACGTTAACTCATAAGACTCATCTTGCTCATTCCTGCTATATGCTCCCCAACCAGCTGGGTCCCTGGTGGTGTTTAAGCACCACTTAACATAAGTAAGAAACAAATCAATCAGAATGTCTTAACAGAGGGTCTCTGCGAGGCAGGGAACAATGAAGCACCCTGCAGACCTTTTAAACCTCACCAACACAAAACATCACATCTGGTAGAATGGCGACATGTAACTCAGCCAGATGTTTCCTCCGTTTGCATCAGGCTTTTCTGAGCGTGCAGCAAATCAACACTTGAGGAGGCAATCTCATTTAAGCTGTTGGTTTCTTTGGCCCGATCTCATTTTCTCAGTGGCACTTGGTCCGTGTAGATAACAGCAGCTGTTCATGGGGGAGCTTTGTGTGACTCAGACGGGAGAGAGGCAGCAGCAGTCAGGTGTGATGACCTTGGAGAGGTCTCTATCTCGACAGCCTCACAGCCTGAACAGAGGCTGAAATGGACAGGAGTCGACACACACCTCCAGTGAATAGAGGCTTGGAGTGTGCACGTTGTTTCATTACCAAAGCACAGAGACACACACACACCAAATCCATACTCCTTTGTACCTGTGTGGCTGGAGAGAAATACCTTAAAGGACAGGATCAGATCTTTTTCAATCCTTCTTAACCCTCCTGTTGTGTTCAGCTCAAACCTGACCGATTTCTCCCCAATCATAAATATTGTGTTTTACATTTGATTGGCCTTATGATATCCTCCACAGTAGGCATTTTAACATATACAATTACTGATCACCACTTTCATTGTGCTCATCCATCAGATAGTACACACCCACAAATCAAATTCTATTTAATTTTAGAATACGTTTCCAGTGTCTATTCACTGCAGTTATTCTTGAGTCATCTGAGAGGTTCAGCTTAAAAGGGTGTTAAATCAAAATGTGTGATGATTAATGTTTTTTGTGTTAATGTAAGAGGCAGTTAAAACCGCAGTCCGGGAACACAAAGGTAAGGGGGGAGAAACAACACAACAGGTGGGTTAAACAACACTCTTGCATGTACTGAAAGTGTTCCTCCTTCACACATTGGCTGTGAAGACATCCTTACATTATCTCAAAGTTAGTGATGGATTATGAGTTTAGCGAATACGAGGGTTTAGCAGTCACTTCATCAAATCAATCTTGAGACGTAACGGCTTTATTAATGGCTAATTCTCTCTTGTAGTTCCCACAGTGCTGAGCTGAAGTGCAGGAACATTTGCAACTAAACGTATTGTAACTTTAGAAGATAGCCACTTAGTCAAACAAAGCACACTTTTGTGGCTCATCTTTGCTTTGGCTGAACTTTAAAATAAATATTTGCGCAGAGTGAGGACACTGATCCCCCCCCCTCCCTATCATTTACGTTGGAAGTGCTTTAGGAGAGTATGTTTTAAAGGGCAATATGGACAAGAGAAACGATTACAGTGTCCAATAATGCTTTTAAGATAAGATAATATACATGTTATTGTCATCCACCTGTGTACAGTGCTGTACAAATGAAGGACATGGTGTTCCTCCTGGACACAGGTGCAAAACAAAGCATGAATGATGCAACACTCAGTGGGAGCAAAGCAAACATTACATTTTGACTGGAAATTGTATTAAACTTACTTTTCGTAAATGCAAATTGTATGACTATGACTATGTTGTGAACAAAAGTGAACCTATAGAAAAACAATATTTCCAGAGTTTAAGATCATTCCTAATGTCTTCAATCCAGAAAAAGATTGGAAGAGAATACAAACTGTTGGAGCAACACCACATTTATGATCCTGCAATCAGATGTGCCTCCAACTAATGAAGTGTGGCATATGACCATGAATAAAAGGCCAGTCTGCTCTATTTTTACACGGGGAGTTGGACCAGGTGCTGTGGGGATGCCTGCAGCAGAATCCTGCTATCAATTTCTGACCATATGGGACACATCTAACCCAAACACTACCAGCAGAACTGCTGCTGCCAACTCGTCTGAAGATATCTGAAACTGTCATGATTAATAAACAAAAGCAGCTGGCATTGCTTCTTCATGAGTTTAAAATGTCAAAGTGAAGATCACAAAGGCTTTAAGTCAGTCAGGTCTCCATAGCAACTAGATAGGGACACGAGTGATAGAGGAATAAATAGGTGTTATTGTATTTTGAGTGCCATAGGCTGTGAACAGAATTAAGTATAGATGTAAGAGATTCAGGCAATGTGAGGGTGGATGAATCACCACCTTGAATAAAGTTCAACCTATAAGTCCTCAGACAGAGGCTGTGTGTACCTGACTGGAGCTGGATGGAAAGGAGGAGATTGGCGGGACGTCCAGGATCTTTAGCTCATACATGTTCCCGTTCAGGATGACGGAGGGTCTGTACACATATCTGGTCCTGGTCGGCGTGTACACCTCCGAGAAATCGTTATAGATGAACTGGCGGATTATAGAAGTTTTCCCCACTCCGGGAGCACCGATGACTGCGATACTCAGCGTCTCCACCATTCCTGGAGCTCGGGTTCAGCACCATGGACAGCGACGACAACAACCACAGATGTGACAGTCCAGAAACGCAGCTGGCCGCCGCTGTTTGGGATGCTGCTCCGATGGAATTCAATCCACCTTCTTCTCACCCTTTCCCTTCACCCAGCAGCCTCTGAATCACCTCAGCTGGGTTCAACTGGGTGCAGTTAAACGAAGCGGTGGCTGGATAAAAACACCCACCCTGTCGAGAAAGCGAGAAACTTTATCTCCAGGCTGAGGGAGGAGGGGAAAAAAAGACCCTTGCAGCTTGAAGGTTATCAAAAATAAAGCTTAACCATGAAGATGCAGATGGAGGGGGTTTTCAATGCTTCTGCAATCCAAAACAGAAACTCTTGTGGACATCTCCAGACGACCTCCTCCCCCGAGAGGAAGCGAAAAAAGTCCGTTGTTGTTGTCCCCGAATGGACATAATCTCACCCAGGCTAGACTGTGACCTTGTCCAGACGCACAGGAGCCCTCAGTGTCTTCATTGATTATCTCCTCTGCACCTCTTACTCATTTCCTCCGATGCAGCACCGCCGCGCTCCTCCATCACACAGCCGCCAGCCTTTTAAATCAGCTTCCCAATCCCACGTGCTCGGAAATTGCACACAAACCCCATAATCTTCTTGTTTTGTCGATGACAGAATGATAGATTCACATCTGCGTGATTCAAAAGAAAATATGCAGTCCACACAGCCTGCAGACGTGCGTTTTCTGTAAAGGCATCTGGAGCCTATTAACGAGCACTGTGCGTGTGTGTGTGTGTGTGTGAGAGAGTGTGTCTGCTGTTGGAGAGACATGCGCTGGTGAAGACTGCTCTATCTTTCTCTCCCCCTCTCATCACTCGCTATATCCCTGCACCGCTCATCCAATAGGATTATGTCGTGCGCAAGGCGTGTGAGAGCCTTGAGCTCCAATACGTCAAAAATAAATGGTACAGGAAAAGGCCAAACTCCATACATCATGTGAGGGTCATGCAGGAGCGGCGTGAGACTGGACATCATTTCTCTTGAGGCGCTCGACTTATTATTGGACAGGGTCTTTGGGCAGGCCAGGGTCGGTGTGTCCCATCAATCACTGCGGGGTGACAGCGAGCACATCACGGGCACAAATCACAATAGCAAGTCGGGGGAATAAACATTACGCCGTTTATGGGCCCTGAGAATATCGGGAGATGAGCTTGTAACCTCTGCTGAAGGTTTTTGAATGCAGCACTTCATTAAAGCACCGTTTATTGAGAGGTGGTAGTCCAGTTTGGTGCTTCTCAAGGCTGGATATTCAATAAGGCAGGTATAGGCATTTGCCCTGCAGGGGCTCCAAAGCTACAGACTCATTATGCCTCTAAGGACCTTAAAGCCCCTCTCCATTAAAGGCGTGTTTTGTTCCTTCTTGCGGGTGTTTTAGCTTCACTGTGCAGAATAATTTATGCGCAGATCTGGGAAGGTGAATTTCAAATGAACCAACTGGAAGATTTAAGTTTCTCTGTGCTCATAAAACATTTAGATTTTGAGGAAAAGGCGTAAACATAACATTGTTTGAATGAAGCCATGTCCGTGGGCTTTGTGTCAAAACAAAATGGTTACGGCTTCATTATTTCCAATGATATTATATTATACATATTTTTGACTAAATTAAGACACAAATCAGACACAAGGGCAGGTATTTATAGACCTGGTGTTGATTGTTTCTGTTTGAATGTAACATCCTTGAATCCCTTGTTGCTATAATGAATCAAGTCTAAAAGGAGTAAGACAAATGTAAACAGATTGACCTGATTGAGTGATTGCAATCCTCTTCAATGGACTCTCCTTCCTGATGAATTAAAGATCTGTCCAACAGAAATCAAGAGCCCTGCTGCAGGAGGATAAACACCAGCCAAATGCTTCACAAAATCAACAGGATTAGCAAATGACTCATCGACTATTAATACAGCCTTTTGGTAAATGTATAAACCCTTTTGCAAAGGCTGCCTTAAAACTCGAGGGCCAAAAATGAAAAACGTTTTAAAAGCAGTCTCAAGAAGGCCTGTTTGCATTAGAGCTGCATGGAAAACAAGTGTTTCACAATAACAACATGTCATTGTTTATTACGTTATGTTTCAAGTGCCTTGCTGCAGGATCAAAAAACACCTGTAAAACGTATTAATCAAATCATTGAATATAAAACTGAGAGGCTGTTTATTGAATAGCCTACTTTTACTGTTGATTCCTCAGATTTGACTCCTTTTACGCTACATAATAAAAACCAAAGTATTTAGCAGTTGTGTTGTAAAGAAATACAAAACAATTAGGAAAATATAATTATCATATCACTTTCTGGGTATTAACTTTTACGAGTATTTAAGTCAATCTTTTTTTTTTTAATAATAAGGTCTGAGCCTTCTTTGGAAATGCATTGCAGTGTCGCCCCCTGTTGGAAACAGCGCCGACTGCTCTCTGGGCGGTGAGGGTGCATCTTTCAAAACGAGCTGACCTTTATTATCCACAGAGGAACAGATCGGAGACGGGAGCTTTGTGCTCAGAGCAGGCGATGCAGTTGAAATCCTGGTTAAGCTTTCTCAAGTATTTCGGACATTAAAAACCCTGTCACCCCTTCAGAGGAGCTGCTCCACCTTTAAGGTGCGGCAGGCTGTGGATACACATCAGACTTACCTTCGAGCTGAAGGTTGAACTGAAGCTGTGAGGGCTGCAGGTCTGTAGAGTGGAGCTGAGAACACGAGAGGAGACGTGAGCGACTCAAAAGGTCATCGGTGACTCTAAAGTACGGACTGTGAAAACACTTCCCGGGGCTTTGGGGGAAGTCATGTTTACCCAGCAAATAAACTGACATAACATTTGGCCTCATGTGACACTGGGAGTGGTGAGAGACATTTATAATCAATCAGTAGTTATGTTCAAAACAATATCTTACCAATCTCTACATGTTTTGTTCAACTTAATTATCGTGTGATTTTCTTTCTGACATCTGGCACTAAACGCACTGGTTCCGTTTCATCATCTTTGTGAATAGAGATGTTATCAGCTTTATTTCTTTATTCTAAGCACTGCATTGTATTCATTCATAAAGTCAGACACTGAACTCTTAAGTGAATTTATCAAGGCTTTTAATATTTCTTTTGATGTACACACAATGAACAAAATCATGTCAATCAAAAACCTCTGATTATACATTTGATTCGATCTTTTTTTTCTTTTTTTTACAGCATTTCATAGGAATCAGCCGTCACCACACACAGACACACACGTGGAGTACGCGGTCACCTCTGTGGCGATCTTTACAAGGCGTACATCCTGCAGAGTCGATAAAAAGGACCTGGATGTAATGACTCGGATAGAAGGGGGGGAACAATGAACCGGGTCGAGTCTGCAGGTAGAACAAGGGACACTGGATGTACGCAGTGTGCTACCTACACTCACACTTATTACTCACAAGTGTTACAAACCATGGCATCATACGCTTAGAGTTTTCTCACCTGAACCTTCATCTCAGGTGGCCAGAGTACTGGAGAGGCTGCGATGAGAGGGCTGAGAGAGCCAAGTGGCAGAGAGTGTTTGTCTGACGCAGGGGGGGGGGGGGGGGGGGGGGGGGGGGGGGTGGGGGGCAGCAAATACAAACACCCTCTCCCAGTTTGCCACATGAACACTAACAAGACTACAAAACACAAATCAAACCATGGAATGACTAAGTGAGAGAGCAAACAGTGGACGACTGCTGCTAGTCTATCAAATGTCCAGATATTGATGGGAGAAATTAAAGAAAAGCCCACCGATGAACAGCGTCCATGCACATATTCTGCTCTCAGACAGCAGACGATCCAAACCCACTGCTAAACACTAAAGAAAACCAAATTATTGACAAAGACAACAAAACTATAATGTAGTCTGGAAGTATCTATGAGTCTCTTCTAAGGCCTAGACAGCCACTTCACACAGAGGCAGGGGTAACGAGTTAAAGCCTTTTTACTGCGGCAATTTAATTCTTAAATAAATATGCCGACAGAGATATTTCAACGGGTGATCGCAGACGCTATAAATAGTCTCCAATTTGCAGAGAAGTGGGGCTAGATCATTATTTATGCAGAGAAAACTCTCACAGGAATGCAGCCCCAAAAGAAGACGGGTCATCACTGAGTGCAGGACCAGCACGAAGTGAAAGAAAATGTATTGAGAGAAAATGTCCTGAAACTATTTTATAGCAAACACACTCAAGAGAGGGACATGATGAGTCCAGCCAGACAGGGAAGAAGGGTTTTGTTCTGCAGGCTGAGGAAAGAAAAACAACCGGTTGACGGGTGGAACCGGGACAGAGAGAAAATGATTAACCAGAAGAATTTGCCAACACAGCAGGAAGTGGCTCCTGCACTGCGAGAGGTTGTAACATGGTCCGCGGGTCAGCTGTGGGGGGGGGGGGGGGGGGGGGGCTTCAGTTCTTCAGCACTGTCTCGTAGTTCTGGAAAACACACTGAGAAACCTCCGGAGCTCTGCACTTCAGAGAGATCTGTGAAGAGAAGAGATCAGAATGAGTTTTCTGTTAAAAAAAAAACAAGGTTTCTAAAGACGACACACAACAGATAACCGTTTCCTGTGAGAAATACAGTTCACAAGTCACCATCAGCAACATGTCACATGAACCTTTAAGATAAGATTGACGGATAAAATTGGGGAAATGTTCTCGCTACAGCAGCATGGTAGAAATGACAGCGAACAAACTACACCTAATAAGGTCATATATAGACATTACTATTTCTGATACATGTTGATGTGGAAACTTAGTAGTTGTTTTACTGACTGACGTATTACAAAACTAGGAGAAATATTAATGTAGTTAGTGTAAGCATGTAGTCATGTGATAGCCTGCTGAACTGTAACCCTTATTTGTGGTCTAAGTATTTAATCAAAATAGCCCGACTTGCAAGAAGACAAAAAAAAGAAAAACGCCATTTTCTTTGGAGTTTCTCGATCTTTTAGGTGGAATAAAAAAATGATGGCAATTCTGGCGCTTCCAGTCATAAGCATTGTTCATATTTATTCATAGGTATAAGAAAAGATAATAAGCAGAAGTGTCCTTGTCATTTTCACAGGAGACACATTTCATTATATTTCAGAATTTCATTTGGTCTCGACATGCTGACAGAAACATAGAGCCATAGACACAGTGGAGGAAACAGAGGCAGCCCCTCCACTCTTTGATGTGAGTCTCAGCTGGGAGCAGGTTGAGGCTCACTGAGTGTTTCCCCATCAGCAGACACACTGCAGAGACATGATTTACTCAGACCGAGGAACACCAGACAGCTGGAGCTTTGGAATAATAAAGGATCGATATTACATTCATTAATAAATAGAAAGGAAAGTAGTTTGGAAGATTGCAAATTGCTTCACTAATGAATTGCTGCAGCTGTGCCTTCTGGTGTGAAGCCCTCACTAACCCACATGTCTGATGTGGGGAAGATGAAGAAAACAAGCAGCATTTGTCTTGCTTTGACAGAAACACACACAGACACACACACACAGACACGCAGGGAGCGAATCAGCTTCTTCCTCAGTGTGTTTCTTTCAGCTTTCATCACTGTCATGTCCGAGAATCACATCTGTTCCAGTGGAAAATATGTTATGGATAGAACAGAACCTCGACAACTGGTTTTGAGTGACGACTACAAACATCGCAGACAGAGAAGAAGTCAATCCAAGGACTTTGTATTTCAGCTTGAGTGATAAAACAGTGGTTTTAGGCGCTGAACGTCCTTCATAAAGACGGGAGAGCTGACGGGAGAGACGAGGAATAAAACACAACGAAAGGCTTCCAGCTGGACTCAAACCAGAGATGTTGATCAACACCAGGACGCCTCCTAATTCCATTACATTATATAACATGCATGTCACTTTGGTGAAGCTCTCATCCAAAGAAACTTAGATACACTTCAACACCGTAGACTTGCCTATAGGAGCGATATGTGTTTTGCAAAAAGGAAACTTTGACTGCAGAGTTTTTACCCCTAGCGATATAATCAGTAAACCCTCCTCAGCACTAGCTCATGACCACTTGAGCCATTACATTCTACCTGTTTTTCTTATCAAATGGGATCCAATACAACATTTGTCAGTGTCTGCAGTGATCAATTATTAACCAGACATTTGGGGAGTAATCTCAACGGAAACAAAGATCAAAACAAGGCGATACTGTGTGTTGTGTACCACAGAGCTGCAGAAATACTGCATGGCTCCTAAAGTGCTGCCTCTGCACGCTCTGGGATCTTTACGAATGCATGCTGCTACTGGCAACATTTAGGCAGCCGCTCTCCTGTCAGCATGGGGTAAGATGTGAGGAAATGCGGAGGCTCCTCCGAGTAGAACCTGCTATTAAGAGAGCGAGAGACTGCGGCATTCATGTGTGCAGCTCACGGCTTGATGCTACAATATTATTGGTTTTATATTAGGGGTATGGATGCAAGGTAAACAGACACAATGAGGAACACGGAGCCACAGTAATCATAAGGACATTCATGTATGGATTAAGATGTTCTTATGATTATGATCACAAAACAATGAACTCTTTGTATAAAAAGTCTATGTTTCTAATACTTTCATACCAAAATGGCTGTATTCTTTCCACCCAAAAGTGTCCAGTGAGAGACGGAGACACGCTGATCATGTAATGCAATGAACCTGAAAACACAGCAGAGGTCTTAGTAAAACCGTCATAAAGAGGAGCAGAGCGGCATGATGCAGCTGTGTAGCGCTGAGAAGGGGCAAAGATACATCTTCTTACATTCCTTGAACACAACCTTGATAACTGAACAGTCTACCCGTGGGTCTTTTTGGACCCGGTGAGGTGGTTTTCTTGAAGTATCTTTGTAATTAAAAATTTTTATCATTTCATATTCCAGCTATTCCTCAAAAACATGTTTTGGATATCATGCCATTCAAATTTACATTTTAAGAAATTGTAGTTTTAGTATTTCTACCCCAAGCTTCCATAAGTGGGTCAAAAATGACCCGCATGCATTTCCTATGGGATCCTATGGGAACCTTTGATTCTTATCACCTGTTGCTGTCAGGAATACATTCACTGCAGGACACACAGACTACATCACAAGTGACACCTCTCAGGAAGATTATTTTACACAGCAAGATCTGATACCTGTCAGTATAATAATAATAATAATAATAATAATAATAATAATAATAATAATAATAATAATAATAATAATAATAATAATACATTATATTTTTATAGGGCTTTTCAAGGACTCAAAAGCGCTTTACAATATAAGGGAAGGTTAGGGTGGGGGGCAGGGCCGTCCCTGGCCAACTTGAGGCCCCATGCAAAGTTAGATGAGGCCTTCTGTTTCGCGAGCGTCAACGGGGGGGGGCCTAGTGGAGCCTCGCAGCGGCGAAACCGTGCCGCGCCACACTAATTGCGCCGCATAGGTGTGCTGCATTTGAGGTCCCCTCCGCGAGGTGAGGCCCCACACAGTGCGTGATCAACCTGTAGGGAGGGACGGCCCTGGTGGGGGGTATAGGACTATCAAACTTGATCAACTGGCATGGATTGATGGGGGGTGGGCTATGAGTAGACAGAGGAGAAGAGATGACTTTTGAAAAGGGACTGGAATACTGTGAAGGTCTCAGAATAGCGGAGATCTTTGCATCAATATGTTCAAAACGTTTTTTTTCAAAATGTAAAAAAAAAAATTATAAAATTATAAATTGTGAAAAATTAAATATAAAATATTTCTAGTGTGAACCAAAATATAATACTAAATATTATACAAGTGATTTTTCTTAACCAAATTGACCCACTTGAAGAGTGTAAGGGTCCAGTCACTCGTGCATCTAAGGGTTAAGTCAGATTTGAGTCTTAAGATCCTTATGAATGACCATCATTAAATGTTTATCCTTCAACTCCGGCAACTGTACATGTTAACTAAGGGTGTTTGTTATATTATAGTAAGTACATTTTACATTTAAGTTTAAAAACACAACAAATGTGCTTCATCAAACCGCATTAAAACCCATTAGTAGTTAGCAGCCATCCTCCTCATCTATGTGTACGACTAAGAGGTGGAAAGAGAAAAGCAGCCGGCATCACGGGTCACATTGTTGCCATGGGGACAGGAGATGGCAGATGAGGACAACATGCTTCCCGCCAGAAAGACAAGGGATGTCCCAACTCTCTCCACCATGAACTATCAAATATACATGAGCTCCAGGCTTAGTCAGTGGAAAGGGATTTCAGAGCTACTGATGATTTTCAATGAGGAAACCCTAAAGCTCCCTATGCTTTAGGAAATGTAAAGCAACTTGCAGCAGATTGTTTAGCAGACTTTGCTGTTTTAAATCACTCTCAGTGGTAGAAAGCAACCTAACCCTGCTCAGCGACTAGTTGGTGGACATAGGGAAGCACTTAGCAGCTGAAGAGACAGACATTGCCCTCTGGAGTTGGTAAAGACCATCAAGCGACCGCAAACACGACTCCGTATGAATGATAATGCTGCCCCGTTACTGCTGGATATCCAAATAACAAAACATTTTTTGACAAGATTGCCAGATCAACTTGAAAGGTGGAGATATGTCAATGTAATGTACAACTTTTTTAGAAGTAGTCATTAAAGCAGGATCAAAATAGAGCTTCCATGAGCTGTCAAACAACTGTTCGCAAATTAATCTTCCCACAATGAGCTTCTACATTTTCATTTTGCATTGCAATGTGGGGTTATAGTGTCAATTAACATGGCTGTTAATGCATTTAATAAAACCCAGCCGGAATCAATATTAAGTTATACTACCGACGGTAAAGATAAAGCCAGTCATGCTTTGAGATATTGGAACATTACGGGTAAACAGCAAAATAAAACGTGCACTCTTTTTAATGAATTATACTTGTTTTGATGTCTTGTCTTGAGAAGTCCAATAAAACCCAGAATACAAAACGCAGAGGCAGAGCTTTACTTCTTCAGGTCTAAAAATAGCTGCCGACGAAAGGCTTTGGCAGCTCGGCTTTAATGTGCCGTGCCAACAGAGGCAGCAGCGAACACACACTGTACATGCAGCGCCATTTACATAAACTATTTATGGTCCACCTACAAAAAGTAGAGGAGCATTACCAGCCCCGAGTATAAACTATTTTAATTAAAAAGAAGTGAAAAAGACAAAAAGGAGTACAGGACAGGAACAGTAGAAGATGAACATGGACACAGGGAAATAAAAAAGCAACAAATCATCAAAATGAAAAAGGCACACTGCCTCCAGCTGCATTTTTTTTATAACAAATAATCATTCAAAAAGGAAAATCTTACACTTAAAAAGGTCCCCTATTATACTATCATAGGTGTCAGATATACAAAACATGTGTCTGAAGTGTTTGGCTCCAAACACCAAACAGATCATTGCAGCATCCCATAATCCTCTCTGTTTCAGCCCTGTTTCAAAAGTGCTGATTCTCTGTCTGTTACTTTAGATGAAAATAAGGAGCCACTCCCCACGCCCCTCTGAGAGATA